AGAGAGAGAGAGAGAGAGAGAGAGAGAGAGAGAGAGAGAGAGAGAGAGAGAGAGAATAGGGGAGAGAGAAAGACAGAGAGAGAGAGAGAGATGTAGACATAGCAAATATGTATAGTAATTTGTATTTTTTTTTACAAAAAGGAAAAAATTATCAACCAAAAACTATTGTAAAGAGCCTGGAGAGGGTCAAACAGCATCTAAAAAATTGGACGAGTTTACTTTAAAATTCCTTTAAATAATATAATATATATAAATCTTTCTTTACTTATGCACAATACTGGAGACAATATTAATATTCTGAAATTAAGTTGAAAATGACTATCAATCACTAAATTACTTTTTGAAAATCAAAGTTAATATATGTTGAAGCTGTTGTTTAGTCAAGAGGAACACATCAAAGACAATCTAGGGGATAAAAACAGCATTAATATTAATGATAAAGAAAAATCTAAGCAAACACACAAATCAGCAACAAGATATCAAAAACGTTAACAAAACTTAAAACAAGGAGTCAACAACAACGAAAACAAACAAACAAACAAACAAACAAAACAATGTAAATCAATCCAATGAAAACAAAAGTCAGTAAGAACGAAAAAAAGGAATCAAAAGGAAAACAAACGGTCAACACAAGGGTAAACAAGGTCAGATACTTTTACTCACAAATCTGGACTATCTTTGCCATTGATACTAGCCCCTATGTCAATTTTGGCATTCCTAGTAACCGTGGCTTTGAAAAGACCCTATAAAAAAGGAGGGCATGGCTTAAATCCCATTAAAAAATATATATAAAACAGAAATACAAATTTACACACTCACCAGTCAGGAATATCAGTCACATTCACCAGTCCAGATATACTTGTGACTGGGTTTCTGGCAGAGACAGCCTTATAAAAGTCCTGTGAAAGAAATAATTGGAGCATTTTTTTTCTACCCTAACTGGTGATGATAAGAATAATAGTAATAATAATTGTAATGATAAAACTAACAGTAAAAAATACATAAATAAATAAAATGATAAATTTCTATTACTTACTAAGCACATAATTGTAAATCTAATTCTAAGGTCAATACTTTTTGTGTATATGTAATAATTCCTAGTTCATAGCCTGATTGAACTGTTTTGTGTAGAAATAACATTTCAGTAATAACTGAGACCCTATATTTTCATCTTCCCCATTGAACACAATCCTCCAGAAATGGCAAAATACTTTTTATAATTAAAAAGATAACTTACTTTTTGGTTTAACCTTCTGTATAATTTCCTTTCTATTATTATTATTATTATCATCCTATCATTTTTTATTACTAATGTGCTCTTGAAATGTCTTTAAAATTTGGAAAATCCATAACTTCATTTACAACTTAAAATAGCATAAAAACAATTACATCCATTCATTTTACAAAATCAAAAAAGCAAATATCCCATCATATCTCCATCCACACAATCATGACATGTAAACCCTAGTATCTCACAAAATAAATATTCATGGGTCTCCTTTTCCAAAGAATTTTCTGCAATAACAAAAAAAAAAAAAAAAAAAAAAAAAAAAAAAAAAAAAATCATGATTATGTGTTACCCTGTCACCCCAGAGTCCACCACAAAATGAATTGCAATTAACATGTGACTGTGCCTCCATTTATGTGAAACTGCCCTGCCACACTCAATTTCTTGACATAGACAAACTGTGAGAAATGTTCACTCACCGGATATTTTGCCGCTAAGTGAGTCACTAAAAAGCCTCCATGTGAGCCACCACAGAGGAAGACTTGTGATGGATCCAAAACATCTTTATATCTGTAAAAATAAGATATATCTACATATAACACAAACTTTTTTTGCAACAAATGTATACATATATACATACATATATATACACACACAAACATCTTTTTGCAGCTACTGTACACACACACACACACACACACAAAAGAAAGAGAGAGAGATAAAATGGCTGTGGGACTGAGTTGCGGACGGCATTGCAGAATGAAATACCTCAAGCCATCAGCTCATTTGAAAGAGCTCCTTTTTTGTCATAGTAGTAACATCCTTTGTTTGGTGTTACTACTCAATTTTTTAAACTTTTGCCTATGAGATAGAGCAACAAGTTATTAGGCATCTAATACTGTACTTGAAATACTGAACAAGCTGAGTGCAAATCTATGCCAAACACCTTGCATTACTAGCCACAAGCCAACTTTTAATACTGCAGTTATGGGTAAAAAATAACAACCAATCCAATTCTTAATAATTCCTCAAAATACATCATTCACACTTCAAAAATCTTCAAGCTAACAAATATTCCAGTTACAATAACTATGCACAGCAGTAATCAGTCCAACATATAAATCTATGAAAATAAAAATAAAGCCAATACTTTCATATAAGTTCCATAATTCTTCAGAGTAAAATAATCAATAACTAGTTTCTAAAAAAATTATTTCAAAAATAAACAAGCATCCAAATATCAAAAACTTTCTCATAGTACTAATCAACTGCATCTAATTATAACGATTTTCTATGAAATTTCCAAGCCGAAACCCACCTTTCAAGACATGAGGTGACAGCCTGGTGGACATCGGACACATCAACAGTACCGACATGGCCAGGGAGGGCATTGACCCCATCCTCTCCAAACCCTAAAGAACCACGGTAGTTGGGAAAAACAATGGAGTATCCCAGCTTGACAAAGAAGGAGGGTTCGAAGTAGAACATATTGGCCACGGTGGAATGTGGCCCTCCATGCGGCCAGCAGATCAAGGGACGCTTGGGGGCACCTGGGAAGACATGGAAAGGGGAAGGGGGTGTGGGGATGTGATGAGATATCATGAGCTGATGGAATAATATTTGATGAGTTGAACACAAAAAAAACATATCAGTCAATATATAACTTACAATACTAACAAAATACAATATTGAAATTTGAAGTAACACATAAAACCACAAAATTTGCAATATAAGATGCTCTTCAGGTGACATAATAATTTGCTAATAATCTAAGTGATATTCTACCTTCCTCTAGATATGTTGGACCATAGTAGATGACTGAAATAGGGATGTCCGAGTACTTGGGGTCAGGATGTGGAACTTCATTCACAAATGACCAGTATGCCCGGAAGTGATTTGGGATGCCCGGGATTTCTCTTCTTGGGGTTACCTAGTTATGTCAGAAAAAAGGGTAGGAGGGGTGGTGAGTGAGACAGACAGACAGACAGACAGACAGAGAGAGAGAGAGAGAGAGAGAGAGAGAGAGAGAGAGAGAGTGAGAGTGA